AGGGACGGTGTGTTCGAAAAAACTCTGAGCCAAATCCAGTTGATGGAGGTTGGGGTAAATGGGAGGCTTATGGCAACTGTTCTAGAACTTGTGGTGGAGGAGTGAAAAAAGCAACTCGTTTGTGCAATAATCCATCACCACAGTATGCTGGGAAATACTGTATTGGACGTAGGACACGTTATCGTTCATGTAACACAAAGGTTTGTATTTGAAACTAATTTATTGCACACTTCCTGTGTTTATTTTTTTACAATGTTTATATTACCTGAATATAAATGCAGGTCATATCTCAATTAGTCCAACATTTTTTACGCCATGGTATTATTGAGCCCTCATTAATATAAGTCAAATGAGGAAACATCATGAGTTCTACATTCTCTAACTGGCAGTGATGAAGCATAAAGCTTGTTTAGAGCTAATGAAGATTGGCACTTTTTTTACTCTTTCAAGTTGTGTTTTTTTGTTCCCAGCCTTGTGCAGACGGTCAAGATTTCAGGGCATTGCAATGTGCTGCTTATAATGGCCGACATCTGAATGTCAATGGTTTGAATAGTGCTGTCAGATGGGTGCCTATGTATCATGGTAGTAAGTAGGGTATTCTCAGTTAAGCAATAAATATAGAGAGTTTCTATGCACCAAAGTGTTGCATTATTACATTAAAAAAAAGTCCCAACTGTTATAGTTTAAAGAAAATAAAGTCAAAACCAAATAAAGCTTAGTTATGTCAACATTATTTGGATTTAGCATTCATTAAATTTCCAGAAAAAGGTTGTTTAAGAAAATACTGTTAGAGGTAAAACAATGACATCAATGACTTATACTATTTACTGTTAGTGTTGTAAACAAATTTATAAAATATTATGGTTTTTTTTTCAGTTCATGCTAAGGATCAGTGTCGTCTCCACTGCCGTGTAGCAGGTCGAAGTCACTACTACCAACTTGCTCGAAAGGTTATTGACGGTACCTCGTGTGGGCCAGATACGGATGATATTTGTGTGGAGGGGATGTGTTGGGTAGGAAATTTTATCTATATCTGTAATTGCAGGATACCTTATAATTCAACTACAATCAACAACAGTCATAATTCATATAAAATAGTTTTTAAAAAGTGGTTGTTATTATTATTTTATTAATTAATAAATACCTGGAAGTCTGATGTTACATTTGTCTTGAACTAATTTAGACATTATTTACTATCTTTTGTATCTTTATACGTTAATAATATAGAGGGCGGGCTGTGATCATATCTTGAGTTCAAAAACCAAACGAGATGATTGCGGTGTATGTGGAGGAGACAACACATCCTGTAGGACTGTT